CAACTGGAATAATATTGCGCTAATTTAGAGAACAAGGAGAAGGCGATATTATGCTTGGTGCTGAGCGTCCTAGCAGGCCTAACGTTGCTGCTTATCGCTTGTACTGTATTGGAATGCTGCTGGAGGAGAAAAAAACAAAAACTGTCACGAAAAGCATCGAACGAACTGTCAGCTGGAGCTGGGAAATCCACGGAACTGAGCACCCTAATGGAAAGCAGCCAGGCAACCTCAGGTTTCACACTAATCTTTTTTCATTGCCAAACTTCACTTGCTAAAAGCAGTTTGAAGGAGACGTGGTAACTGGGTAAGGAAGAAAAGGCAAAAAAAAAATGGGATAGGGGTCTATTATTAATTTTTTAAAAAAAGGACTGGGAAATTTTTTTTCTTGTTTCTTCTTTATTTAGTTTCTTATCTCTTTTGTTGCTTGTAGGGAGCATCTAATGTGTTAAGTTACATTTTGCATTACGAGCTCTTAAGTGGAGGAGGGGAAGGGAAGCTTTGACAGAAATCCGAAAGTTAGAAGCGAACAAAATTTGTGTTAGATTTTGTCCACTTTTAATTTATGGTTTTCTTTTGCATTTTTATGAGTTTTTGCTGTGCAGCGCTAGAGCGCTGCAGCAGATAGCAAAAACGCGTATTGCAACGACCCTTTCTGTGTATGTATGTGTGTGTATGTGTGCATGTATATGTTTGTGTGCGTGTGTGTTCGTCTGTCCGGGTATTTCATTTGCCAACCACGCAAGTTTTGAAGTGAAATTTATTCAGCTTGTTCCCCCACCAAGTGTCACCCCAGGGCGACAGTGTCGACCCTCACGCACTTCTGGGCTCCGCGTACGACCTCGTGAAAGTTTTGGCGGGAAAACTGCCAACAAGGGAACGAGAAAAGCTGAGAAGTTGAAACTTTAAAAGAATGTTCCCTACCCATGTATGACTAAAAGATTTCAAATTCAGCTGCCCAGGACTGCCGGGGACTTACGCACGGGCACATGAAAATTATGGCGGGAAAATTCATAATTCGGGAATGAGAAAAGCTAGAAAGTTGAAACATTGAGGTAATGTTCTCTACCCACGATCAAAAGTTTTCAGACTCAGCTCCTTAGAACCGCCTGGGGCACACGCACATGCACGTGAAAATCTTAGCGGGAAATGTGCTAATTGGGGAAAAAGAAAGCTAGAAAGCTGAAATTTTAGAGTGATGTTCTCTGCCTGTGCGTGACTAAAAGATTTCAGATTCAGTTATCTGGGACGGCCCGGGACTCATGCACGAGCAATTGGAAATTTTAGCGGGAAAATCACTAGCCCGGGAACAGGGAAATCTAGAAAGCTGAAACTTTAGGGAACTGTCCCCCGTTCATGTACGACCGAAAGATTTCAAATTCAGCTCCTTAGAATCTTTCGGTGCTCACGTACGGACACGTGGAAATTTTGATGGGAAAACTGCCAACTCGGGAACGAGAAAAGCTGGAAGGCTTTAATTTTAAGGGGATGTTCCCTATTCACGTGTGACTAAAAGATTTCAAATTTAACTCTTCTAGTGTGGCTTTTTTCGCGGACCATCAATTTTCCATTTGTCGGGTCACTGAACTCGACATCTACAGCTGACATGCCACAAAGATGCACAATTAATTTCCCGAACTTCGAGGGCCGGTATATCACAATGCTAAATACTGTGATTCCTTGCGATCTTGCTACGGCACGAAAAGTGCAAAAACGCATGATCACACCGGCTCGCCTGGTGCATTCCAGCCTAGGTTGTTAAATGGAGATGCACGCACTTCTGGGCTGATATCGTGTTCCTCAGTACTATTTTCAGAATCCAATAAAAAAACTTGCGGAGGGAAGAAGCACCGACTAGAACAATAGTGTTACGTTATGGGATCGCATAGGAATCTTGTCCTCCGGAATACATAATTGACATAAATTTTGCATGAAGCTACTGTTGGCAAAATATACCGTCAAGTTCGCCTTATCCACACGCTAGACATAGACATTTATGAAAATTGAATTTACGCTTTCAGTGGCAAACAAGATACGCTAGCATTCTCAAGTAATTTCTGCTATGCTTTCTGAGTTATGTGATAGCGAGAAACAGAATACCGAAAGTTTACAGTCGAAAATTTTACGAGACCGTGCACAAAAGCAAAATCTTATACGTAGTCTTGTACTTGAATTGTAAATATCTTTACAAAACAGCAGCTTCCTATTTCTTCTGGTTGAGGAATAAGTGAATGCAAAAATTGTTCAGGATTGAAATTTTGCTTGCACATAGCGCAAGACCAAGACGCACCTAGAAGGCGTCTTGAACCATCAACTCATACGTAGGCAAAGAATATTCTCGTAACATTTCAGCTTCCTCGGTTGTCTCTTTCTCGATGTCGCCGCTTCGCTACAAATTTTTTTAGTGTGCCTTTATGTTTGACACAGGCACAATCCAAATACTAGCTTAGGTAAGGAGTCTTCATTTGGACAGCAAATATTTTCGCATTTATCTTTTCCCGGCTAATTTTTGAGCTGGCATGGTACCAATGACGAATTTCAACGTGCACATACGCGTGACGTAAGCATACTTGACTTTGGAAGCTGGCACATACACAGTGAACATCCTTGTGAAACTGCTAACTTTGGGCTCGGTTCATCCCTTTCGAGAGGTCGGTTGCAATGATTGGGGAGTGGAGGTAAAGGACTGAAGATGGACGGAGTGGGGTTAGGGCCAAGGGTGGTGATTGAAGCCTCAGGAAGCACGGTTATTCACAGTAAAACTGATTCCGCTTGGAGGTAAGAATTGAGTATTTATTGAACGGCCAACCAAGCCGGGTTTTAGTAAGTGCCACGAAAATGAGTTTTGTTTTTATGCGTTTTTGCATATATGTAAATTGTAAAAACGCATATTGGGAAGAGGCTGTATGTGTGTGTGTATGTGTGTATCTGTCTGGTGTTCGCACTTTTTGTCACCCACTTTCAACTCGAGACCCAGAAAAGCTAGAAGGCTGAAACTTGGAGGATATGTGCCTATACCATGCGCGACCCTCCCTTTTTAATTTCATCCCCTTGGACGCCTCGGTGCCGAGTACGGAGGTTTTAAAAAATATGCAAATTTTTTGGCGGTAAG